TCTCTCTCTCTCTCTCTCTCTCTCTCTCTCTCTCTCTCTCTCTCTCTCTCTCTCTCTCTCTCTCTCTCTCTCTCTCTCTGTCTGTGTTATGAGCCAGGTACTAACCTGTGACGTTGGCGCTGTGCTGCAGGTACCTCGAAGACGAAGCTGGAGCAACGGCGCTGCAGGTAAGTACCTCTGGCCTCTGCCCGATCTCTCTCTCGCTCTAGTGCTATCCTAGCTATGGCGCCCAGCGCTGGAGACTACAGCTACCTACTGCGCCCAGCGCTGAAGACTAAGGCTAACGCTACTACTACTCCTGCAGCGCTCCCTCCAGAGTGCTGCTGCCGAATCCTGAAGACTACTGCCTCCTGCCTGCCCCTGAAGTGCATGGGAAGTCCCTATGTACTACCTCGGCCTGCCTCCTGACTGCCTGAAGGGCGAGCCAGGCCGAGGAGGCTGCTCTTGCCAATGCCGAAGTGTGCCAGGGGCTGGAGAGGCTGTCGTGGGAACAGGCTAAGAATAGCCTGTTCCCGAAACCCTGGTTCGGTGCCTGAGTTTCAGGGTCGGTCGTTCTGATGAACGACCGAAAATGGCCCTTCGTTTCAGGCTAAAAAGGCTATTGCATTTTTAGTGTTACGATCCTGGTTATTTCCCAAGTGCAAATTCACAATGAAAGACAATGCCACCCAATTACGAAAGAAATGAAAGCACTTGCAAAGAGATAAAGACCAGAGGAGAGAGAAAGAAGAAGAAGAAGAAGAAGATGTACACCAGCAAGACCAATGACAATTCCCCCTTCTCTCTCCACCTTCCTCCTCCTCCTTCACTTCACCAATCTTATTCTTCTCTCAATAATAATAATAACAATGAATGGATGAACCAGAATCAATATCCGAAGTTCCTCTTACTGCTGACTCAACAACAACAACAACAACAACCAGTCCACCATAGCTATGGCTTCCCTCCTTCAGCCTCCTCTCTCATGCATAGGCTATGCGCGGACTAATGAGGGCCTTGCCCTGACGTCCAAAGGACAACCCAAAGCAGCTATGGTGCTACGCTGATGTCCAAAGTACAACCCGCCGCTGCTGACTGGTCCACCATGCCTGACTCTGCCTCGAGCTTCCTTGGTGCAGCGCTACCCCAACCGGGGCCTTCCAGATGCAGCGCCCAACAAGGTGATGAAGATGGTGTCTACCATAGCCAGGTAAGTGCCCCGCCACTTCCTACCATGCCCCCTTCTTCCTCCTCCTCAAGCTGGACTGCTCGCCATAGCCAGGCTGAGCTCCAGCGGTCCTTCACCTCCAAGCAGCGCTGCCTCAGTCCAGCGCTGCGCTCCAGCAGCATGTCGCCAATCCTTGCACACCGCAAATGAGGAAGAACTCTTTGCTCTTCCTGGAGATATAGCGGCCTACCGGCCTCCTGGGCGGTGACTTCCTAGGCCGAGCGGCCTCCCAGAAATCCCAGAAATCAGCAGTGTTCTCAGTCTGTGTTTTTGGCGGGTCATTACATTACCCCCCTCTCAAGAGCGAGGTCCCTTCGAGCGAGTAACTCATTCAGAGTTGGCACAAAATGCATCATAGGAGTAAATCAGAAAGAGAGACGTAGTAAGTCCATGAGGAGTCATTTTTGCAACAAATTTAGCAGTCTGTCCCTCAGCAATCTGTCGTGCATAAGCGTTCACAACACGGGGAGCACTCTTTAGCAGCTCTTTTCGGTCGATCCAGAAGAATTCAGTCAACGAGTGATAGAGGAAGTGAACCTTATACCGTCTGTTCCTCCCTCTTCCCTCGTGAGAAACGATTCTGTCTATCTCATGGCCGTCGTCGATAGAGCGAGGTATCATAGGGTCCCTTCAGTCAACGGGTGATAGAGGAAGTGAACCTTATACTGTCTGTTCCTCCCTCTTCCCTCGTGAGNTGAACCTTATACTGTCTGTTCCTCCCTCTTCCCTCGTGAGGAACGATTTTGTCTATCTCATGGCCGCCGTCGATAGAGCGAGGTATCATAGGGTCTCAGAAGGGAAAAGTTTCATCATCAATGTGTGGGAACAGTTTGGACGCATGAAAGACCGGATACGTGCGCAGATGAGGAGGCGCGTCAATCACATATGAAGGACCAAAATCATCCCCAATCACCTTCAGAATCTGCCAAGGGCCATAGTACAATGGAGCTTTCGTGATATGCCCTCTTCGTCAGAAAACTCAGATGTTTTGACCCAAACATAATCCCCTACTTTGAATTTTTCTTCTTTGCGCAACTTGTTAGCATGTTTGATCATGGCATGCTGGCGCTTGTTCATGGCTGCAATAACAGCTTTGAGCAAGCGTGCGTACTTGGCATTGTAGCCAGGCATGCCAGGCATCAGACCAGGTGACCGTTCGGGGATCAGATAGGAGAGGGGATTACGCATCGGCCATCCGTATTGCAACTGGTTTGGCGTCACGCCAGTCGCAGAGTGAATGGAGTTGTTATACAGTCCCTTTACTTTGTGCAACTCCTTGTCCCACGTGTTCTGATCTGGAACAATCAATGCGCGAAGTAGTTGGATGACAGTCTGGTTGATCTCCTCAGCCAATCCATTGGGTTCGGGGTGTCGACCAGAAGTCTTGTTCAGTTTAATGTCATAGATCTGAGAGGTGAAGTCCTTCCAATCTTTGCTAATGAATCTGGTGTCCCGATCACTCACAATAGTTTTCGGGGTGCCAAACTGCAGAATGTACTGCTGATGGAATTCTTTAATGACAGGTTCAGTCGGGGCATGGGGAGGGAAAGAAATCAAGTTCGTAAATTTGGAAAAACGGTCCACGATAACCATGAATTGTGAATTTCCAGCCTCACTCACCTTTCCCATGTCCGTGAAGTCGATAGAAATCGACTCACCGAGTCCATCAGGAATAGGGAGGAGTCTCAGCAGACCATAAGGCTTATGTCTGTGGACCTTGGTTCTTTGACATACCTGACATTCAGCAATAAATTTCTGAGCAGATCCTTTCATTCGTGGCCAATCAAACTGTTGCAGAAGACTTCCATAAGTCTTCTCAAAGCTGAAATGTCCACTCCGACCATGTGCCAAATCCAAGAAATGAGTTCGGAGAGGCGCATGGTTGGGTACACACAAACGATCAAATTTCCCATACCGGCGGAACACAAGACCCTCGCATTCATGAAAATCTGGCTGACTGTTAGGGTCAACCTTGAGCTGCTCAAGGATGGGACTAAGGTCCGGATCCTTGGCGGTGTGTTCGACCAGATCCTCCTTCAGTTTCCTTCGGAGGTCATACGAACCCACAAGGCAAGTCAAGAATTCAGGATGGCGGGACAATGCATCAGCAACCCGGTTATAACAACCTTTCTTGTGTTTCAACTCAAAGCTATAGACATCAATATCATGCAACCAGCGGGTCAATGTAGGAGAGAGATCAATTTGTGTCTGAATCCACTGCAAGGTCTGATGATCTGAGTAGACCTTGAAGTGACGACCCAAGAGGTAGTGCTTCCAATGTGCGAGTGCCTCSCGCAGGGCGTAGAGCTCACGCATATATGTGGAAGTRGCTACCTTGTGGTTGGGCATGCGTTTGCTRTAATACTCGAGCGGACGCAGACCAACACCATCATCTTGTTGCAGCACTGCACCAATCCCAAACTGGCTCGCGTCCGTAGTGACTACGAACGTGAGGTTGGGATCCGCAATGCGGAGCACAGGATGACTCACCAATGCCTCTTTTAAGGCTTGGAACGCAGTCTCACACTTCTCACACCACGCATAGGCAACATTCTTACTGGTTAGTCTTGAGAGTGGGTGAGCAATGACAGAAAATTTTGGCACAAACTTCCGGTAGTACGAAGCCAAACCAAGAAAAGAACGCAGTTCGCGTACGTTCGCTGGTTGAGGCCAATTTCGTATGACCTCCATCTTGGTTGCCTCCGGCTCAAGGCCGTTTGCAGACAACCGGTGCCCAAGATAGATGACGCTGTCCCTTCCGAACTCATATTTCTCTAAGTTGAGGTGCAGTTGTGCCTCCTTGAGGACCTGCAAGACCTCAAGGTGCTTGAGGTGCTCTTCCATGCACTTGCTGAAAATCAGAATATCATCAAGGTACACAACCACAAACCTGTTGAGCTGATGGCGGAGTACCTTGTCCATGAGGCTCTGAAATGTGGCTGGTGCATTCGTAAGACCGAAGGGCATAACGATGAATTCGTACAGCCCATCGCGTGTCTTGAATGCAATTTTGTGTTGGTCACTCTTATCAACTTCAATCTGGTGGTAGCCAGATTTGAGGTTGATCTTGGAGAAGACCTTGCACCCACCTGCAGCATCTAGCAGATCATCTATACGAGGCAATGGATACGCGTTCTTTCGGGGGATACGATTTAGGCCACGATCGTCAATGCACATTCGGAGTTTGCCTCCTTTCTTCGGCACAAACAGGACAGGTGCACCGAACTCAGACTCACTAGGCCTAATCCATCCACGATCGATCATGTCATCAATCTGCCTCCTCAACTCCTCCAACTCGCCTTGTCCCATACGGTAGACGCAACCCTTTGGAGGAACACTCCCGTCTATTATCTCGATCTTGTGTTTGACCGGATGCTCGGGAACTCCACGAGGTTCGACCGGAACTTCAGGGAATCGATCTAATAGCTGGCGAATGTTTGTTGGGACTTCTGGTGGATGATCATCCTCATCAGGAGAAAGAAAATTAGATTGAGAATTTACAGCAATTACAACCGGATTAGAAGTACTTGGATCAGAAGTAGAGGGATTATTCCCAGTAGAAGTAGATGGATTAGAAGTAGAGGTGGTAGAAGTAGAGTTACTTACCGAGGTAGAAAATGCAGCAAAAGTAGAAGGCACATGGAGAGGCTTTACAAAGGCTATATGTACATGCTCAACCTCCTTGCGCCTGCACACTGATTTGCAGAATTTGTTTGCACTTAGAAGAGTCACAGGGGACTCGGGCGCCTCATCCAATAAGACGGTACGCTCGTTCCCCTTGGCGTCACGCACCACGAACTGATTGTCCGCCCACGTGGTCCTTAGGCAATGAGCCTTTAACCAACCCAAGCCAATGACCGCGTCGAACGGACACTTGTCCATGACATAAAAGTTGAGCTCATGTGTGACAGTGCGGTCCTTGTCAAAGGTGACGCGCACACCTTTGACAGCATGTGTGGAGGTGACAACCTCTTGGCTGCCCACCTGGGTTCGGCAAGGGTTCTGCAGTTCCACTCGCTTCATTCCCAGGCCCGCCTTACGAATCCCGTTAGGAGAAAAGAAATTAGTGGTTGAACCACTATTAATCAGCACGCGGATGTATCGGCGGTTAATGAGCAGTTTAAAGAGGGTTAGCTCCACACTCCCTTGAACACGGCGTTGCTGCTTGAGCTGCAGCCAATATTCCAGGTGAGCGTGGAAGTCAACTTCCTTAGACTCCTCCCAAGGCTCAGCATATAGCACATGAACTGCAGCAGCCTTGGTTTCAGCGTCGTTCCGGGCTTCAAGAGTAGGTTGTTGATCAGATTCAGGCTCATCGGAGGGGCCTGCAACTAACGTTCCAGCTTCCCTTGTTGTAGGGAGTGTTGATGACTCCTCTACGCCCTTTGCCTGTTTCCTTGAAGTCTATAACAGTCCTGCACAGCATGCCCAAGCTTTGGACAATGCAAGCATATGCGCAGTTTAGATCTTCTTTCCCATTCTTTTTTACTGATCCGGAGGGTTTCCCAAAGCTTGGTAGATGCATCCTTCGATTTCTCAGGGATCTTCGCGTTCTTGGGGAGGTGGACAACAGTTCCCTTACCCGAACCACGGTTAGACCCCTTGTTTGAAGCAGTCTTTTTAAACGCATTAAGTTTTTCGTCTTCGTTTACGTCAGACTCAATGGCTGATGTGGAACAACCCATATCGGAGTCCGACTCTAGATCATCATCTAGAGACAGATCATCTGTGTAGGACTGATCTTCAGCCTCCCGATGTTCATGCAGGGCAAGCTGGTTGCTGCTTCCATACCGCTTGCATTGTGGTTTTCCACCTGCAGCGGGCGCCTTCTTCCGCCTGGCGAGGTCCTTGGCCTCTAGGTTGACTAGATCCGTCATGAGCTCTCGCCAGGAGGTATGGTCTTTGAGTGCTACAGGGAGAGGTATTCTTCAGGGGCCACTCCCATGACTACATCCATAGAAGACACGTCGGTCATTCCCAGATCTGGAGTGGTGAACAGACCAGTCAAGTGCTGTTCCAAAGCCTGCATGGAGGATCTCTATGTTTGGCCCTTGAGGGCCTCAAGCGTCAGCCTAGCCTTGAGCGCAACATGCTTATTTGGTACCGTGTGATGAGAAGATCCTCAAGGGCGCGTACATGGGTTACCTTCAGCCACTCAGTCAGGTCAATTCTTTCATAACCTGCAGCTACAGCTTGGAGCTCAATGTCATTCCGTACGGCGGGCTCGGTATTAGTGTCCATGATCATGCTTCGGTCTTCCTGCGGTGTCCTCAAGACCTCGAAGTATGAGCGCATGGAACTAATCCAAGAGGTGATATCTGCTTTCCCGTCGTACTTGGACGGCAAGGTGGCCGCCCGCTTGTCCACTACGGGACCGCTGTACTGAACGCCAGTAAGGACTGTGGGGTTTTGGGCTGATGTCCATGCATTTGGGACTATGAATAGTGCAGAACTGTCGGCGCTGCCGCTTAAGGAGCTGGCACCGGTTCCTGCGCTCGTCACAGTTCCACTTGCTCTTGCCATGAGGACTGTGTTAGATTGAGGGACTGGGTCTGCAGCAGGTCGAGGGTTAGGAGGGCGGGGGGCAGACAGTTGGGATTGTTTAAGGCTGATTATCTCAACCTGCAACTCTTGGTTCCGCTGCTCAAGTGCTGTTACACGGGACTCAAGGTCTTCTAAGTTCCGCAGTCGAACCAAGGTTGCTACGGCAGCAGCTAGCTTCTCCTGGAACCGGTCAGCGTTCGCTTCCGGGACCTGAAGGAGGGCCACCTGATCAGCAATGCTGGTGGCTCTGGCTGCTGCCTTTGCCTCCCTTTCCCTCTGCACGGCATCGTCATAAAGCTTTTGGAAGAACGGTCTCTCGTTCTCTTCTGCTGCATCCAGCATGGCCTGCCATTGGGCAGATGTGATGTTTGCCATGCCGGCGGAAGGGGTGTTAGCAGATTTCTCAAGAGGGGTCCGCTCTCTCCTCGTGTTTGGACGAACACTCCTCTTGCCCTTCCTTACACTCTCAAAAAGAACACCTCTCTCCCTTCTCTCTCTCTCCGCTGTTTGCGCACACATCTCGATATCGGACATAGATAGTTCAGATGAAAGAAACAAGCAGAAAATCACACAGAGAAGAAGGTAGAACTCCTAGCCGGAGCGGCGATTCATTTGGACTT